GCTGGTGATGTTTTGCTTTTCAGCTGCAATACAAGCCACAGAATGTTTCTGATTTTAACTCTTCTGCTGCTGGAAAGCTTTATTTGGCTTCAGGCCTTAGTGACACTGCCAGTCTGCCCCAGACAAATGTTTTCAAGTGATCTCTTTCCAAGGAACATACTTAAAGTATTGAAAGACAGAACCAGTGCTCTAGATTATACAGAAGAGAAACACTTCAGATCGTTTCAAGTGCTCGGGAAGTTATTTTGGATCTGCAAAATATCTCTGTCTGCATTATCAGAGCAGAAATCATGACTATAAAGACGATGCAAGAAATCTAAAGTTCCCATCTCCTGAAAGCTTTTGTGGCAGTTGCTGTTGTCCTTGTTTCAGCTTGCTGTCTCTCAGTCTCGCAACTCACTGCTCAGAAAAGAGCAGGGTTGTGAGGGGCCTTGGTAGCTAAGGCTCATCAGTACGGGTCCAACTGGCGACACTGGTATTAGGTGAAATTTGTCACAAGGAAAACAGAAGGTCCTGGTTCTGCTTGAGGGCTGAAGAGGATGTCACCCCAAACCTAGCAGCTTCTTAACTGTGACTTTAAACTCTGTAAAGTACACGTACTGACTTCCTGGAAAGCTCAGTCTGTCGTTTAGTTTTGTTCTCTAGTTTGCCCTAAAAATATTTCATGAACTTTTTGTAACTGGGGAACTAGTATGTGGGGTTGAGGCTTCACAAAGGCACGTTTACTGAAATGTGAACTTTTAGAAAGACTGGACAAACCTTTGTCATTGGAGATCTTACCTTGTCAGTACAGTTATAATTTAGCTTTCGTGGGTTTGCTGTTGCAATTAGTAGTAAATATTTCCGCTTGCTCTGAAATGTTTTTTCATTTCTGGGAGTGTTCTGTGAGGTCAGGCAAGCTGCGAGTGAAGCAGTTATCTAGATATTATTTATTTTTTATCAGATAAGCTGCTATTTGAGTGTCATCTTGAACCATAGTGAAGGCTATATTAAAATGGGTAACTGAAAGTACTTTCAACAACCTGTTTGCTTTTTAATTGCCTCTTACTTTATTTAGGTTTTCTTGTGTTAAACGAAGAACTCTTAGAAAAACAGGTTTGTTTGGTTACTGCCTTGGAAGTCTCCATTGCTACACCAAAAAGATTATGCAAGGTATTTACTGGGGGGTGGGAGGACAACACGCGTTGACTCACGGCTGTGTCAGCTGGCGCAGGACATCTCCTCGCTCTGGATCTGCCACGGTTCAGCCGTGGAAGTTACTTGACAAATACTGTGTATGCCTAGAACAGATCAGATCACTTTCTAGGAATCTTGGTGAACAGCAGACATATGATGATGTGTTTGCATGCAACCACAAGTGATAACGTTTGTGTGGTTTCTGAGGTTTGGGTCCCAGCAGGATGTGGTAGCTGACCATGAGTGCCCCAGGCATGGAGAGATGGGGTTGGCTTAACGGCTTCGTGCATCTGTCCAGGCTGACCAGAAGGGTGAATCGGCTTTTTTATCCTGCCTTGCCTAAGGGCAGGTTGTTTAGAAATGTTTTAAAACATTTATGATCATATGGCCATGTTCTTTTGTATGTATATGTGTGTTTTTTTTCCTCTTGAATCCCCTGAGAGTGTGTCGGGAAGGGAGCTGGATTACCATCATCTATGTACTTCACTTCTCACACCTCCCTTTGCCACTGATGCTCCTGTAGCGCTCACAAGTGAGCAGTTGCTGTGGAATTAATAATAATTTATGTTAACTTTTTCTGTGTGATAGGAGCCAGTGCACGCTATGACTCTGTAGCTCTCTGTAGACTCCAGACTTGTCAGAGAACTCTAAAATCCTGTGTGACTCTTTTATGGCTCTGATTCATGCTGAATCAGAGCAGCTATGTCTTTGGAGAGCTCAGAAATAAAGTTGCCTTCTCTTCCCGTAAAGTCGTAAAGCCAAGCCTAGCTCTGGTTAGCAAATGTCAGAATTAGGGCTGCCTGTCAGCCTTGGTTGTGGCCTCCTCGGATATATATGTGATGATGTAATTTTTAATTATGTGATCGCATAATTTTATTCACACAGGATTCCTGCCTCACTCAGTGAACAGAGTGCACGATGCTCAGAGGAAGGGTAGATGGGCAATGTTTTTAGTTTCCTTCTTTGCTGTGTGGCCAGTGTCTGCTTATGGTAAAGGTGATTCCTCCTAGGTTATTTGTTTTGGTCTAAGTAAATATCACTAAATTATCTTTGCGCCACTGATAACTGTGAAGTGGTGTTATCAAGTACTGAAGTAGAGAGACTGAGATGATGCTTGTTAAGCATTGTGATGTGGTCCGGAAGAGGGAGTACTTCTTGGCAATGCAACACATTCGAGGCAGGTCTTTGCTGGCTTCGGCTTATTGCTTCTGGGAGCGGGGAGAGGCTCAGGTTGGGTTTCTAATAATAGCCACGGACGGTTTCCTTTGCAGCGTCACCTGGTTGTGGAACAGCTGCTGTGTCAGCCCAAAGGGTGGAGTTCACCCTACAGAAGGACCTTTTGTTTGTCTTTTGTTTGTCCTCCTTCCCTGGCGGTTTCTTCCCCGGGCGGCAGCAGGCAGGGCTGGAGCTCAGACAGCAGCTTCAGGCGTCGCACGCCTGTGAGTCATTCCCCATCACTAGCTCTCCGTGCATCTGCTGCAGCAAAAATTGTGAAACAGGTAGTGTGTGCAAGTAAAGGTGGCACCTTGTCCTTCAACTTGTGCTCCATCTGTTTCTCTTGTCCCTCGGCTCTCTTTATCGCCTGTGTTGGAGCGATACTGCTCTCTTCCCTGCCTCCCCTAACTACAGCATGGGGAGCACTGGGAATATGATTAAAAATGAGGCGGCTGATCTGTCATGATTCAGCTATGAACTGCATACTTGAACCTTCATGTGCCCCAGGCACACAAGATACATACTGCTTACTTTCAGGACCTATCAGGAGGGGAAATGATGGAGTTTTTCGTGGAGAGGAAGTGCCAGTGGTCCCCAAGAGGTCCTGTTACCCAGGGTTTGGGACTCAGTTAATCTCATGGCAATGGCTTCACCAGCCCCGACTGAGTCATTTCCCTTCACAGCCAAAGATTTGTACTGCTCAGCAGCCATGGTAACAGCACGGTCTCGCGGGGAGTTGGAGATGCGGATTTGGCGTGGAGCTGCAGTTGAGTCGTGCTCGGCAGCCCCCGGCCGTGGGGTCTGGGGTAGCCAGTGCAGGGCTGGTGCCTTCTGACGCCACTTTTCTGATTCCAGGCTTCACTTCATACTGTCGCTACAGCTGTGTTACTGAATCATGTTTTCCCAAAATATTCTTGAACCTGATTATGTTAGATGTGTATCAAACTGGCCAACAAACTCATTCCTTTAGTAATTTTGTTTGGTTTATGCCAAATGAATGAAATTTGGGCAGCTCTGATTCCACCAGGAAACCATCACTGATGCTTAGTTTCATTAATATATTTAGGTCATTAATGTATTTAAAAGGGATTTTAAAGTTACCAGAGTTAACAGATTTTAAGCACTCGTACATTTCACAAAGCCTTAGATACTCGGTATTTTCCACGTTTCCAAGCAGCTACAGAGATGGTTTTCCAAGCCCTTACTGACATCTTCTGCTTGTGGTGCCCCGGGCATGCTGGAAATGCTCGCTTCCGACCCGGTTCACTTCATACCCTGAAAGGCTGATTTCCCATTCCCTTTCTGCTGTACTAAATAAGTGATAGTGAAGAAGGGGATTAATTATTATTTTCTGTTATTACGTACTGGTGAATAGTTAACTTTGCACTATTGAGGGGGGAAAACCCTCCAAACCCCAAATCCAACCTTTTTGTGTGACATTTGACAATAAGTGTATGAAATGTATTCTGGCAATAATTTTGTTGCTGTTGGAGGGTGACATGCTTCACACAGGTACCTGGAAGGATGTGGTGGGTTGACCTGGGTGGATGCCAGGTGCCCACCAAAGCCACTCTGTCACTGCCCTCCTCAGCTGAGCAGGGGAGAGGAAAAATACAATGAAAGACTCGTGGGTGGAGATAAGGATGGGGAGAGATCACTCAGCAATTTCTGCTGTAGGCAAAACAGACTCGACTGCTGGGCACTGGCCCACAGCCTTACCCAGCGGCAGGTCCATCTTGGAGCCTGTGGCGCTGGCTCTGCC